AGACTCTGCATCGAGCGAAGGCTGGCGAGAAACTTGAAGGGGTACAGGTTGAGGAAGAGGAGCAAGATTCCGTTCCGCAGGGTATGGTCATGGTCGACGAAACAACGCTTGATGTGGGCGATATTCATGGAGGTGGCAGAGGGAATATGGGTGCCAATCGACCGGGGCTCGGGATGATACCAGCCACCGTGGCGAGCGGGCAGGAATGGGGAGCGCTGGCGATGACGTCCACTGGTGGCAGCGGCAGCTCGGGTCGAGCAGGCAAGGGAGTTTTACCGGGGGTTGGTAGTGGGGCGGTGCCCCCATTGACAGGAAGGGGCTTGCCCCATTAACCCAATGCAAGCGGGTCCATCTACGCAGGAGGAGGCGTGGTCGAATATGGCAATGGAAGGAATCAGGCCGCGACCGTGCGTGCCATGGACTCCGGGTCCGGAACCTCTAGGCTGGCGCACGGGCTGGCATGGCGGGGCCGCGTGGCCAGGAGGAGGACGGGGCAGTCCGAGTGGAGCAGGCCAAGGCGAGGCATATCGGCCGACTGGGTCCAGCAATTATGGCCCGTCGGGTGGACCTCATATGAATTTCAATACAGGGCCGGGATTTAAGCCGAACTACGACTCGACAGGAGGGCCCGGTATGGGAAGCGGGTCGGGCAGCAGCATAGGTGCACAGGGAATGGGCGGAGGAGTGGTTAGCCCGGGAGGTTGGGTTGACTTGGGCGGCGGAATGAACCGGATTGATGATCAGGTCAGCCTCTTCCGACCTAAAACCGCACAACTCGAGTTCCCAAGGTATAATGGTGGGGAAGATCCGTCAGGCTGGTTCGCACGGATAGAGCAATTCTTTAAGTTCCAAGAGACGCCAGAAGATCATAAGGTACCATTAGCATCGTTTCATCTGGAAGGAGACGCAAACTAGTGGTGGCAATGGCTAGATCGTACCTACATAACCTCTGGGTTGCCCATGACTTGGCCACGATTCCTGGAGGAACTATGGGCTCGATTTGGGCCATCTAATGGGCCTTCATGTCACGAGGCCCTCGCAAAAATAAAACAAACCGACTCCTTGAATGACTATCTCCTAACATTTGAGAAGCTGGGGAATCGTTGCTATGGCTGGACCGAAGAAGCTTTGGTGGGGTCATTTATTGGTGGGCTCAAGTCAGAGATTTTTGACGCTATTCGGATGTTTAAACCAGAAATGGTGCGCGAAGCCATTCGCTAGCCAAAGTGAAGAACGAAGAGTTGTCCAAGCAGCGAGGGGGGACCAGAAGTCTGCCGCGTGCACAGGTCGAGTCGCGAACTGATTCCGCACCACTTCCGCCGCGGACCGCGCCACTACCCCGTAATCTCACCAGTCGAAGGATGTCACCAGAGGAGGTTAACCGACGAAGAGCGCAAGGGTTATGTTTCCACTGCGATGAGCGCTTCACCATAGGACATCGTTGTGCCAACCTTAATGTGCTTCTCATGGTGGGACCGTGCAAGGAGGGGGAAGATGGTCGCTTCATCTACGAGGATGACCAACCTTGAGGGCAAGGTTGCGCTTAAGGGGGGAGGATTGTTACGAGACGAGCTATCGTAATAATTTGGGCATTTTCTGAGCTCATCTATTTTAGTAGTTTATTAATTATTAAGTGTTTAGTTGTTAATTGGGATTATTATTATTATTATTATTATTGTTTCCTAGTCTTAGTAGGATTTGTGTTGTCTTTTGGTATTTGTTTAGGATTTGGTTGTGGTGTCCTTGTAGGAGAAGGTTACGTATTATGGGTAGGAATAGGGAAAAGTGGACCGAAACCATAAGGAAGAAGGAGAGGATTCTGTGCCTATAAATATGTAATGTCTCATTCGTTTAATGGTATGAAGAAGATTGGAACCCAAATCTAGTTTATTGTCTTTCGTTTATCGCGTTTTATCGTAGTTTGTAGTTTTGTCGCAAGGAGGTTACAAGTCAAGAATTCTTCAATTATGTGTCTCGTAACATCAAAGCATACTAGTGGACCGCTTGACTGCCGTAGGTGACATTGAGATCTCGTTGCTGGAGACTAGATTGGAAGAGAGGACGACTTAAAGAAACAATGCCAAAAATGGCGCCCCAAGGTGTGAAACAACGCCCTAGCCGCCGTTTTGTGGAGATCAACTACATCGTTAGAAAGTCATCCTAAAGCATCCTGATTCGCTGGCCAAATCTTTAGAGGCTTCTGATTGGCTGGGTGACGCTAGAGCTACGATTTTCTTCTAAGAAAGCCTAATCAAAGGCCTATAAATTTCTAGAGATAGAAAACATGAGAAAGAGATAAGAGGTCAAGGTGGATCAATTTTGTTATGCAGACATAGCAACCCTCCTGATTAGAACGAGACCAACCTCCTAGGGAGAAACAACGGCCTTGGGCCCATTTTCTCTATCGATGGTGCCATTTCTGTGGCCATTTCTGGGGTCTTTATTTCAATTGATGAACACCACGGAACCCCTCCTCATGGTTGGCTAAGTTCCTTAATACCGTAGGTAGGGGTTCTAACCATGTAAAATCGATGTTTGGTTTATTTCGATCATGTTTATTTCATACGCCTTGATGTTTGATTTCCTTTATTTCGTTATTTGTCTATTAGAATGAGAGCACAGTCGACCTTGCACTCCTTTGAGGGACAGGATTGCAATCCTACTACTCGAATGAGACTAGAAATAACAGTACTACTCGATCGAGCGTCATTCCATTGAACGGCGTGACGCCTCAAGGGAGAAATTCAAAGTGTCCTTGTCACCAATTAGTTCGGCTAAATGCTTCGACACAAGGTGGAATCTAACAAAATAAGAAATCGGCAGCTCACATGTTGCCAAATATGCGAGTTTGCCTAGCCGAGTATGTTGGCATGTTTACTTGGCTACATCGTTATAACGTATATCGATGTTCAAGAAAAATAAGTGTGCCAGGTTATGACATGACACGTACAAGGGAGATTGTGGCCTTGAGTGCGCAGTAAGTGGATTCTCTTAAAACCGACAAGACATGACCTGGATCGTGACAAGGATACATGGTTAGGAAACCTAGGGGGAACTTGCTTATGCAACACCTTTCTTCTCCAATCTTGCACTCCTTCGATGTGCAAGGATCAAAATCCAAGTCGCTTAGTATGAGACTAGAGATAGCAGTCCTACTCGATTGAATGTCATTCAATCGAACTGCATGACGCCTCAAGGGAAAAATCCGAAGGGTCCTTATCTCCCATTAGTTTGGGTAAATACTTCGACGCAAGGTGGGATCTACCAAATAAGATGGAAACTTGTATTTTCCTAAATATTAAGTTGTGATCCACAGCTGTAGAAAACGCGCTTATGCGAGTTCGCCTAGCCGGGTATATTGGCATGTTTACTCTCCTACGTCATTCGAACATATACCACTGTTCATCAACAATATGCGCGCCAGGTTGTAAGACGTGACACATACAAATTGGGAGATTGTGCCCTTGAGTGCAGTGTCGGAAGGAGGTGAGGAGGAGAGGGGTCCTAGGACCCCACTTGGCAAAAATTGAACAACAAAATTTTTTAGATACATCGGGTTTAGTACGATCTTTTAAGTTTAGGACCCCATATCCTCGACGATGTTAGCTTACCAAGGACCCCAATCTACTCAAAATTTAGTAGATACACAGACTTTAGTGTTAGTAAAATTTTAAGGACCCTAGTGAACTCAAAGTCTGGCTACACCACTTCTTGAGTGTGGTACGCAGATTCTCTTAAGGCTGACAAGACATGACCTCGATCGTGACAAGGATACATGGTTAGGGGAACTTGTCTATACAACGCCTTCTTTCTCTGATTTCTCACTCGTCTAGTAGCATAAATTTATTTTCTACACCTCGTACTCTCGAACTCTTACGTTCTGTAAAACCGGAGGTAGCTCAACCTCCTAAATCGCTCTCTTCTTCAATAGAAGCATACCTCGCTTCCGAAGTAAGGATTATGTGAGAGACCTTAGGGAAATACAATAATGGACTTAGGGTCAGGTAAATTTGGGTTATGGTCTACAACAAATCAATACTCATTCTTCAATCCCTCGTGGAGGTGATGACGAAGAAACATCATTGTTGTAGCATTATCTTGACTTAGGGGTAGAAGTTTGATTTGTGGTTTGCGATTTAACCACAACTGTACCGAATCACACGTAGTTTGGTCAACCATTAACCGTACTTTGTGGTTAGCGGTTTTGTTATGTTTAGTAAAATTATAAATTTTATGGATAGTGGTTAACCATTATGGTTAAACCACAATAACCATATAAACCACACTTACTTATTGAAGTTTTTTTTTTACAGTTTAGTAGATAATAGTAATATTAATAAATATAGTTATCAATTTTTGTGAACTTCTCAAATTAATAATAGTTAGTACTTTACTAATATATTTTTTGTATTGTCGAATTAGTTATGGAGGACTTATACTTTGTATTAATTGTTGAATTGCTGACTTCTTTATGAATAGGGATGATGTTGAATTGTTGCTAATGTGTTATACCTTCTAAATAGAATTTACATGTTCTCTTATGTTGTTCTTGATTTTCTTGATGGGGTTTGTTTGTTACTTTTGGTTTTATATCTTACTTTTAGCTGCTATATTTTCTTCTTTTGTCCATTTTTTGTTTGATATTTTCTCAATTCGTCACACGTGGATCTCACCTTTTGTTAACGTTACAGTCGTTACTGTTCTCATTTGTATTTTTCTATTTTCTTTTCTTTTGTCTACTAGTAAAATTTTACAAATTTATAAAAATTATATTGATGAATTTATGATTTTGATAAGTTGGTTTTTGTGGTTAACCATAACCGAACCGCATAAAATCGTAGTGATTAACCACAAACTACTGCGATTTGGTTTGTGGTTAGCATATTCAGCAATTTCTTTTGTATTGTGGTTATCCAGTAATTGCGTTTGTATTGTGGTTAACCACAATCGTGCCGACCTCCATTGACACATTGCTTTAATTTAAAAAGTCTTTCCTGCAGTTAAAATTACACATACAAACAACACCTAATCTCCAATCTCTATATTACAACAATCCATCTGGTAAAAAATCTCAGCTCTAAACTAGCTTAGATAAGGCGAGATTTTCCCCAAATGATAGATTTAAGTTGTCACTCACAAAGAAAGTCTACGGTATCCCAACGAGGATCGCACCCTACAAGGCTACAACTCCTCCACTTGCCCCATCTCAACAACACGACAACACACTGCTCTCCCCTCATAAATAAACCCTAAAAATTCAAAAACAGAATAAAGCTCAAACGATAATAATAATCGAAATTAAAATAAAAAGAAAGGCGAAAAGAGAAACCCCCACCGATAATATCAACCAAGGAGACGAGAAGGAACACCTTGCCCGCCGCCGCCGAGCTAACGGCAGTGCGCTTCCCTAGCTATCTCCCCGATTCAGCCACCGCACATTCACATCAGCGACTTGAGGGATCTGGCTTTCACCGGTTTCCGCATCCGCTTCTTGCTGATGAAATCGCCGCCCGCCGCCCCATCCAGGTCCTCCTCCTCCTCCTCGTCAAAGTCGTAGTCCTCGTCAATAAAATCGAACGCAGCTAACGGCGGCGAAGACGAATTCGCACGACTTGGGCCCGCAGCCGGACCAGTACCCCCGCTGCTAGCATAACTAATATTATTATTGTTAGCCTCATCGCCGCCGCCAGCGCCAGCGCGGTGGCCTCCTCTCCGTTTTCCCCACAGCGGTCCGAATCCAGAATAATAGTAAAATTCGTTGGGGTCGGAGCTCATCGATGCCGCCGCCGCCGCCCCTTTCTTTGCCGCTTTTGCCCTCCCTCCTCGACGCCCCGACGACGTCGTATTGTTCGCAGCCGTCTTCCCGTGGCTAGCACTCACTACCCTCCCCCCTCTCCTCGTCGTCCACCTACTGGCGGCGCCATTATTGCCATTAACATTATCGTGATAGTTGAAAACATCCGCTTCCGTCGATTCCTCCCCATCCTCAGCCTTCTGGTCTCCGCCATCCGTGTCGTCCTCCATCATCGACGCCACGCTGAAGAATCGTATTGAATAATAACCTTTTAAGATCAACATATATTCCTTCGCATCGACTAGCTAGGCAGGTAGTTATCGAAATGGGGAAGGCCGACACAAACTGTCGAGGAATTTTACTATATATCCAGAAACCCTAATATATGCAGATGTGGGAATGCGAAACAATAGGAATGGGAAGAGACTGGAATTAATTAGAGGAATTACCTCTCGCCACCGCCGACGGAGCCGTCTAAGCTACCATTGCCGGTGATGTTGCTACCTTCCCCAGCTTGGAACTGAAGTAAAAATGTTTACGATAATGGGCGATATGCAGGCATAATAATAATAAATAGGGGAGGAAAGGCCCAGAAACTAGCGGCAGCAGAAATGAGGGGCACGCACTAACCTAATCATTCACTACCAAGCAAGAATCGACGACAGCGTTGAACGAAATTTCTGGGCCGAACCCTAAGAAAAAACCCTAGCTCGTATTCGGGAGGGAAATGGGAGAGGGAGGAATTGGTAACACTGTACCTGGCGGTTTAGCAGGAAGTAGGAGGGAGAGGGGAAACTGTCGGGATGAGCGGCGGCGGCGGAGTAGTAAGAGGAGGAGGAGGGAATCAGATCCCACGGCGACTGATTTAGCTGGCAGATGACGTGGGCGGTGGTTTCAGGCGGCATCGCTGCTGCTGCTGCTGGTCCCGACATGTGGCTTGCGTTCTTCCGAATCCTCATGATATGGAAGAGAAACACTGAAGGCGAAAGGACGGTAAAAGGGTCGGCGACCGGGAAGCTTGGGAGTGTCTTGAAGGAGGAGGAGGAGGAGCAGCAGAGCCCGCGATGGAGAAAGGGCGAGAGAGAGAGAAAGAGAGAGAGAGAGGAGTAGAGGACTGCTGTGCTTTTGCTGTTTGGTTTTGGCCGCTTATATCTCTTCTTCATTTCGCAGATCTAACAACGGGAAAAGGGCTGCTTGTTTCAAGACATAAAACAATTGTGTACTGATCTCAAAAGTTATAAAAAAAAAAAAAAAAAAAAAAAAAAAAAAAAACTTACCCAAACCCTACCATTTCAAATACCTATATAAATTCACTCTCAACAAATACCTATATATTTCATTGAAGGGTAACTTCAATTAGTAAATTCCATTATATTTCGTCTTCTAAATTTCTAACTCTTTGAAATAGAAACTATTTCTAATAATTTATTCATATTCATTATTTCTCATATACCCAAAAAAAAATTAAAAAGCAGACCATCCACCATCCATTACGTTTAAGTTTCTAAAAATTATTTCATAAATTATCCATCCAACTTAAAAATTATTTCATAAATTATCCATCCAACTTTTCAGATTGTACAATTGAAAAGCTATCTTAAAACGTAGGTATTGTATAAATATGTCTGTATTGATATGTTATCAAAAATCCGTTGTAGTCTAGTTGGTCAGGATATTCGGCTCTCACCCGAAAGACCCGGGTTCAAGTCCCGGCAACGGAATTTTCCTTTTAATTTTTTGCAGCAACTAAACGAGTGAGCTATCTATATTTTGCTCTGTAATGTATCAAACTTCCCCCCTTTCTTCCATTTTGAACCATGACTCCAAATTTATTAAATTGTACAATGGAATCTTAAGTTCAGGTTTATATTCATCAACCGTTGCACAAAACCATAGGCAAATCTAACACGTTAATTGGATAATCTGGAGATTGAGAAACTTGTCTGGAACAAGCTCCAGAACGAGGGGCAGCACTGTGTCATTGTAGCCTCCATGAACGAAATTCTGATCTACCTCTTCTTTTGGGAGACATTTGAGCATACAACGTAGTCTTCCTGGGAACAGGAAATGGAACTCTAGACGAGTAGATCATAATGATTGTTGCCACTGTAAAGAAGCCTCACAGCTTTCTTCGGCTTGCCCATGAAGGAGCCCTTGCTGAACTCGCCTCCATATTCAGCTATTGGGATAAATCCCGAGCCCCATCCGCCTCTCACATGCTGCATTCATATTCGACACATAATCCATATACAGTGAGATATTGAACACAGGTTCTACATTGTCCACGGACAAACTAAATGCCAAGAAAACAGGAGAACAGACCAGCCAGTCACAGCACCTATTTCACATAGTTCTGTCTAGAAACAGGAAAAATTGGTACCAAGGCGGAAGGACATTCGATTTCACCATTCCAAGAAAATGTTTGTGGTTAACCAGAATCAAGCTGGATGTAGGGCAACATCCAGACATCTTACCTCGTGCTCTGGAATGTAAACTATGACTGGTTGTCTACACAATTTTGAGAGTACCTGCACACAAACAGTTGTCACAGTATAGCGATTCAGTATGTGCATGCAAGGAATTCTAGGAGGCAACCATAAATAACAACAGACATATAGATGCTTGTGCCCATACCAATCGCAATTCGTAATGGATGAACTTAATAATTTCATGAAAAGTTAACTAGACAAATGCAGTTAACTCCCTAGAAGAGCAGACAAAAAACAGTACTGACCAGAAGCTCCGACTCCCCACCCCAGAAGTCGGGACGTCCTATTCTTTGACAATAACTGGAAACGTCAACAAAAAAAAGGTGTTAATCATGCTGTCATTGGAAGGGACCATAGGGTAGTACACTGCAAGACCTAATAGAAAAACGGCGAACAGAAATTTGATTAGAAAGAAGACCGACCGCTTCAATGGTTCATCAACTGTTATTGCAATCAATGCTTCTTCGTACTGTTGGCGTTCATTACCACTTTGGCAAATAATCTCCTTAACAGCCATTCTCAAGTCATCTGAAAGAAACATATTCTGAGATAGATATCCATTTCCAGAGAGCTTCATGATCAAAATCAGGAAAGATTTTCGCTTTTCAATCACTACTAAGAAAAGTAAACATACAAGAGAATCACATCTAGACAGTAATGAGTAATGACTAATGAACGAAGAGAATGTTGTTCTGCAAGAACACGCAAACAATAAAGGTACCACTGCAGCCAAAAGAGGAAGCCGATATTAATTTGGGTGGAAATGGAGATATCCACTTTTTTGGCAAATTACATGAAGGCAAAGCACAAGTGATGCAAATGTATCAACAAAGATCCATGAAACAAGAAACTTATAAATTTCCAACTGCTCAAACATACCTGCATCATCTCTCTCTTCCCGTGGCTTAAGCGGAATACCCTTGTTCAAAGCCATTCCTTTTACCTGGTTTGATCAATCATGACTAAGATCATGCGACGAACAACAGTAATGTCATATAGTCAACTTATGAGAGAAGAGGGCAACACCTATGCATCCGACAACATAAGTTACATTGAGTTAGAAAGACAAGGTCTCTAGTGCTTCACCAAACACATGACACACCTAATACTATAACTAAACACAAGATTAGCACCATCTAGTATCTACTGGCTAATAATTACCATTCTCTTCTCTAGTTTGCTATCAATTATGCAACTAGCTGCAAGACTGAAATTCAAACACATATTAACCGTAGCGCAGGTGACAACAGTATCAAGTTCATAACCTTAATCTACTACTGAATAAGGCTCCGAGGTCCGCTCCAGCATTAGGTTAGTGAACCTCTTGAGAAAAATGAGCAGAAGCTCCTACAATGTGTTTTCTAGACTTTCGGCACTAGCGTCTGTTGCCACTTCTTTGACAAACGCAGCAATGCATTCAGCAATTGATTAAGGTTTCTGAATTAACAGCCACAATCCTATGTTCAAGCCTTGGTTTCAAAGACGATGGATTTGGAAATCAAGTCGAGGAATGAGCTAGAGAAGAGGAAATAAGATACCAACGCACGGAATAGACAGCGGCCACCTCCGGTGACTTTCTGAACTGAATATTGCTCCAACTTCTTCTTCGTCTCGGGGGGTGCCCTATCTCTGGAAGAGAAAACAGTAACACCGGCAACGGAGTTTCAGCCTGTGAAAGAATCGAATAAGAAATCTCCAAAAAGGCAAAGGAACTCACAGTGCTGGTCCAATTCGAGCGAAGAACCGATGGCTATTGTTGGCGAAGAAGGGGACGGAACGCATTTGAGGCGGGGTAGCTGAAATCGAGGGGACTGGTGAGGGAACGAGCTCGAAGTGAGCAGCTCCATGTTTCAGCAGCTGGAGGATAGTCTCTGCATAACATGACCCATATCACTAACTAATTCTTCCGGCGGAAGGGGTAAACTGTAAAGAGGCACCGGAGACGTGCACTCCGAACTGCTGTCTTGGGGAAAAATTGACGAGAAAGAGTTGTTGGTACCATTCGTAGGCTTCTCCGCCATGACAGCAATCTGATTCTGACCTCGGAGCCGAGAGCCGACAAGTCACTCTGGAAATGAGCTGCTTCTCCGTGGTTGAAGATAAAATCAATGTTGTTAAAACTCAAAACGAAGCTAATGTGTTGTTCACTTGCGATTCTGTTTTCTATAACGGCCACAGAAAACAGCAAAAAATGAAAACAAAGCTACTTGTTTCTGTGAAACAAAACCTGCAGAAAATTTATTTGTTGAAAATTTTGGTGAGTTCTGAAACTGAATTCTGAAAAATGAAAACCTGTTTAGTTACTTCATTTTGTTTTTGATACTTTATTACCACAACTTTTTCATTGAGTATCATACAACTCTATTCATTCGTATAATTTTTTTTAATATGAATCACATTGTTATCAAACACACCACATTCTGATTGTTGCCCTGCTAATCTTTAAGAAATTTCTTAATTACATCAAGAATTTGACAAACACAATTAACCTACATACGTAAATTATATACAGGGACCGGTTACAGTGATTACTACAAAAGTAGTAATCATCGTGGTTACTAAGGATAAATTGGGTATGAAAAATAAATTGTATTAATTAATTTTTTAATCAATTATATTTTAAGTAGTTACAAGAATCTATTGATTGCAATTCTCTCTCTTTCTCTCACTTCCATAATCTCTAGCCAGATCTCATTTTCTTATTTTTCTCAATCTTTCTGCAAAAGAAAAGAAACACGAAATCACTACCAATCCATTAGACAACCACTACCACTTTGAAAAATATCAATACCATTGCAAAAATAAATCTATACCATTACACGAAAACTACCAATATAAACAATCTACCAATATAAATCTATACCATTTCACAAAAAATCAATATCATTGCAGATTTAGCATTCGTTTGGAGAATATGAGTTTAAATCTATAGATTGTCAACAATCTAAAGATTCTAACTCCTCGGATTCTTGAAAATAGATTTTAAAATGTTTATTGTTTGGTAACTATGATTGCTAACATTAAAAAAAATTCAATTTTATATTAAATAACATGTTTATCCTTAATAAGAAATTGGGTTAATTGCATGGTTGGTCACTGAGATTACAAAAAACGTTCAAATGTGGTCACTCGAAATATTTAAAACCATTGGTGGTACCTTAGTTTACTGAAACCGTTCACGTTTGGTCACTCTCCGTCCAACTCCGTTAAGTTTGGCTGATGTGGCAGTCAACTCTCAAAGTTGACCGTTAACTTAGTGACGTGGTAATTAATAAATAATTAATAAAATAAAATAAAATTTAATCTATTTTAATGTCCAACTCATTTTTTATCATAAAATAAAAAAAATAAAAAAAACAATTATAAATAAGAATTTACATCTCGTCTGTTGCCACCTCCATTTCAAATTTTTGTGGTCTGGAAGCGATTCTAGGAAGGACCCGTATCACTCAGATAAAGAAGGAACACTTAACCAACTTGACTAGATCGTATTTGTTGTCATTCTTTTAATTAAACATAACCCATTGCTCTAAAACTGAATGAGAAAACTGCAACCCTCATTTTAAATTTCATGTACTGGTAGCGATTTCAGAAAACTGCATTTAGTAATTGTACCTCATTTGTTTATATATTAAAATATTGATTATTGATATTTGAACTCATGTCACTCAAAGTAAAGAAAAAGTATCATAAGTTTATAAACAACTAGACTACAAAGGATAAATCTATATCAACCATATAAAATATAAAAACAAAAGCATTTTTTTTTCTTTCAACAATAGCTCAAGAAGAAATATAATAGAGTCTACATCTTAAAAATAAACCACTGAAGAAAATCAAAACTATCAACACTCGCAGGCAACAAAGAAAGAGACTTCCTAGCCACTACATGGGCTACCTGATTGCTAATCCTTCCAACAAAGAAAATGTCAAACGATCGTAACTATTGTCGAAGCCTTGCTATCTCTACCAATTTCCTGCCACCGTGCTATCCTGCGTGTAACACCCATGCATTCTTTAAAACATTCACATGATCGTACCGATTAAAACCTTTCACAATTTTGTTTAGCTTACAAACCAAACCATAATTTACATAAACATTTAAAACTTCTAAACACATGACAGTAGAGAAGACCATCTTCTCTCAAAATACTATAAACAAGTCATGTCGGAGTCTGAGTCCACCATCCCACCTCATTGATGCCGAACTGAGCCTTGCCGAGTTTTCTTGACTTCTAGTCCAAAACTTCTAATCTGGGGAAAATTTTTGACGGGGATGAGACGTCACCTCAATGAGTAAAAGCTAACCTATCAACAGTATCAATGCAAATATAATATCTGGTGAAGTCAAACCCTATGCTTAATCTCTTAGTTTCCCGAGATAACCAATTTCAGTATTTACATTGCTCAGGGTATACCATACAGGTAACCATGCACAATTCAATAGTCAATCACACACACACTAGTACACCCATTCATACACACACATAGGGTTAGCCAGATTACGTATCTTTTTGCCTTTAAATTGCCAAGTCATGCACTCTCCCGGGTATATCCAGTAGATGCATAAAGCACCGCCAATAGATGCATTAAGCACCGCCAATAGATGCATAAAGCACCGCCAATAGATGCATAAAGCACCGCCAATAGATGCATTAAGCATCGCCAATGACCAGGCCTGGTATCGCTCTCCCAGAGAGCTAGGCATAAAGCCGCATTATCGAATCTCATAGAGTGCATGACATGGCGCCATTAAGTTTGATTTAGGTGATCAGACAATTCTTTAGTTAGTCACATAACAAGTATCAAACAGTATCATCAATCATTTCACACGTGTCTATTCACATATTCATAACATTCACATAGTCACATTCACCATTTATATAATCACATCGTCACCTTATAGGCTTCAATCTCACATTTCCACCTTATAGGCTTTCCAGTAATCACACGATAGCCAATTAGGCTATCCCAGTATCCTCGTATAGTCATTCAGGCCATTCATTATTCCATCACTGCCTCATAGTCTTCTCTGTATTGTAATATATCCCTTTTAGGCAATTTCATATCACATACACATCACACATATCATCAAATAGTCATACGAACATCACATCCACCCATCATTTATCACATATCATTTCATTCACACACATATAGTCATCGCCATCGATTAATTCCACATTTCATATTCTATATTCAGGCCGCTTCATGACCCGAATACCATATTTGTATCCATACGGTTAATAGGTTAGAGTTTACTCACAACACATTTTCTATTCCGCTATACCCTTGCCCTTCCTTGCAGCTCTGGCCTGCTCGTTGTCACCTTTAAGAAGTTACAAAACCACATTTGATTCAATATCAATCACCCATTAACCGTAGACAACCAATTAACTACTAATCGTATAATTTAAAATAACAATGTAATGTAATGGTTTTGTTTTCTGTTTTATTTATATTTAGAACTCTACTCGTACATGTTACTAAACCCGACGCTAACATTCTATTTAAATAACCTACTTCCACCTCACGCATAGCCTACTCAAATTGCTTCCGTTTCCAGGATAAACACCACCACCACAAAACCTTTCCCATAAATAAATAATCATTGCCATCATCACCTATGCATAAAGACATATATATATATCCTCATGCACAATAATTTTTGGAACCACTTTAGCACATGCAGACCCGGGCCTAATTATCCCATACCCACTATAAACACTTTAACCCTTGATAACTTAATTATCTAGCTAAATTCATTTACCCCTCTCTCTCTACAGAAGAACTAAAGTTCATCACCAACCCTCTTATGCATGTAGGAATATATATACATATACACATTCAGGATTTCAACCTAAGGCAGCATCCTCCCCTGTTCCCTTGATTAATTATCATCATCCTCTTACCGCCACAAGACTTGCTGAAAACCCAGTCCCGTACCCTTGCTATTACCGCCAACCAGCTACCTCTTTCCCCTCCATCAACTTAAACAAATCGACGTAGAGGAACAAGATCTTACCTTAAGTAACTAATGCCCTTTTAACTAACCCCACAGCTTGCAGTTCTCCCCTACTGCCGCTGGCGACCTCCCGAGGGGGTGAGAATAGATGGTGACGGTAGAGGGAGGTGAGGAGGGGGTTTCTAGTGGTTTCCTTAGGCGTTCAAAACATGGAAGGAGATGTATAATCCACTCTATTACCGTTCAACCCTCTCCCTCTTCCTTCACTTAATGGACTTGTAAGAGTGTCGGGATATATTGGCTTTGGAACTAGAGCTGTATTGGGGTTCTTGTGGGAAAGAGTGGGTATAATAAAAGCACAAGGATACTTGGCGGGTGAAATAGGGAAAGTAGATGAGGACCGGACACTTTTCCCCATTACATTCTTGCCACCTTCGACCTCCATCTAATCCATCCTCTACTCTTTCATTCATACACGTATAACCCTTGAAGTTAAGGAAGAATGAAACTTTTCACCTAAACAAGTAATTATATATATATGTAATGTAGTTTAGCATACACTTACTTATTGATAAGGATACTCATATAAAGTTTAACATGTCTTATCCTTTCATACACGAGATATTCGTATTAAGCCATTTCGAAGGAGAGGGGTGTCACACTGCGTGTCCCTTATCATAATTTTATTAATGACATTGTTAGCATCCCCATAGAACACAACATCAGCTAAACCCGTCAAAGAACACCACTGATTGCGTCACTAAACACCAACAACTCAATTAATTCTGGGTCATGTAGGCCAACATAAGAAAAACCTTTAACAAAAATCACACTCCCCAACTCGTTCTTCACCACCAAACCATCAACGCCATGGGTTCCTGCTGCCATTGCTCCTTCAACGTAGGAACGCAATCTACCTCCACCCACCCTTTGACCCACCGATGACTCCCCTCACTCCCCATTCGTGCCATTTGTTGTGGAATCTGCTGTTTGGGGGGGGGGGGGGGCAAGGCTAACCATTCCTGTACTTGGGCTTCATATTGGCGCACTAAATGATTGATGACATACTGAGACATATTCGGTATTTGATGCTTTATATTTTATTTGAAGTTCGTGATATTTTATAGAATGAAACTAATCTTGAAATCAAAACTCAAGTAACATTGATTTGATTATTAAAT